ATTGGCGGTGCAAACATGTTTGACGCGTACTACGCGATCGACATCATGTAAATTCGCGACATCTCAACTGCCACCACTAAGGGGCGTGTATAAATATGAGCAATCAGAATGCGTGCAATTGGTGTGATGAGGAAAGTGGACCAATACAGAACGTTAAATGTTCAACAGGAACCACAGAGACCTGAATGACTGGTGGATATAAAGTTGTAATATGTGTGGGTGTGATGCACTGATTTACACCCAGCCAGACAGATGAAATCGACGTGTTTCAGGAACCTCGAAGTGCCAACCTCCGAGCAACCGATCGTACCTAATGGGCAGAATATGTCATGGTGTCGCGCAACGTGAAATAGTTCGACCACCAATGACTGGATCGACAACACAGATTGAATTCAAACATGGGTTCAGCGAGCAGTTGGACGACTGCTGTGCAGACCAGTGAGCTCAGAAATAATATTTGTTTATCGACGTAGGCTAGTAATCACCGACAACAATAGACTACTGATGCTTTTGCGATTTCACATCTACACCCTTTCAGCCAAATTCACTCGAATACCTGAGCTGAAATCGTGGATTCAAGTATATTTACGCGAAGATTGGTCAATCGAACGTGCTTGGCAACGACGACAAGGCTATCGAGGGTCCATTAGCATAGTGGATATTTGGTTGCCAAGATTCCTTATTGTGACGCAGGCCAGTGTGTCGAATATATCGAATTGCACAACGGTGTCCCATTCCTGCGTATGCACTACCTCATTGCAGCCTCAGGATTCGACAATGCGGTTTGCGATTTTGATTCGAACTGGCCTATACCTTGGAAAAGATGTTTCTGGAAGACTTAAATGGTTGTGAAATTGTTGTCCTGCTGGAACTACGTGAAAGCAGCGACTAAGCTACCTAAATTTGAATTAGATGGTGAGGCCATGGAGTTTGTGTTTACCAAAATTATCGCCAAGTTGTTTAATCGTGTGAAAATGTCCAATTTCCGCATTCTTTCCGGCTAGCCCAAGGGCTGACTCGACACCTTCGAGACCCGCCTCTTCGTGACCATCTCTTTCTCTCCAAACTCAATAACTTCCAGAAGGTTGATTTTTGACACAATCCGGAAATGTCCCCTGCATGCTCAAACAACCCCAGCGATATTAATCATGTGTGATTTGCTTTCGTATTTCCTTTCCTGGTTTACAAGGAGTACAATTCGTTAGGTTGCCGATTCAAAAACTGCAAGACGCTCCAAATATATTTTCAGTTAGTAGAAATTGATGGTGACATGAGAAGAAGAAGTGCAGGGTTTGCTCAGACCGGAACTCAATTATGCGCGATTGGTCGAACCTCCCCAGCGATTGCTTGGCGAAACAGAAGGCATTCCACGAAGTTTAGTGTCCAAAATATTGGTAAAGCAACCGTTAACTTCTGCCATGTGTAGCAATGGAAAAGGTGAGAGACCTATTAAGTAGTATCGCCTAGGGTAAGGAACAGCCCCATGTGGTATGATGTTTGCACCCTCACCCAATGCATCTACCATGAGACAACTTTATTGATTGTGGTGTATGTGAGAGTGAAAGAGCGAGTGGATTGTGCAAGGTCTTATATGGTCTTATGATAATGGAGGTGGCAATTCCCGTGAGTGTTGTCTGTGTTCGAACCTCGACTAAGTGCTGGCGATAGATATTTTGTGACAGATCTCGCAATCCGCCATGTACGGCTTCGAAGGTTATTGATTTGTCTGTTGATTCTCGTCAATCTCACTTGTCTATCTCGGACAATTGAGCCTTGTGTTCGAATAGAGAGGAATTGGCTGGAGTTAAAAACCATAATATTTAGTAGCCTGGCGCACTTCATTAAGCTCGAAAACACGATGCCTTTGAAATTTGTCCAAGCTAGTGTTATGCAACAGTTTGTACAGGCGAATCGCTTATGTGTCGCAGATGGTTTTGCGTGAGAATATTCAATGCGATACTTGGGCTTAGAAAACTTCTCTTAAAGACGGATGACGTGAGTCTGTATTTAAAAAAAAGGCTGAAACCTGCGACTTTAATGCTCATTACTAACAACCTCAGCTTGTGTTTAAATTTTATAGCAGTGTTTAGTACCGCTTTAAAATGCAAGTACGTTGTAGGGAATAGGAAAGACCTCTCCTGAGTGTCTGGCCAAAGGTCTGAGTGATAATACCGAACAAGCTTAGAAAGATTGATGTGGACTTTATAATGTTTGAACCATAGTTAAAATGTAGTCCTAGCTTCTTGGTCATAGGCACAGGCAGCAATGTTATATGTAGAACCATCTAACGGCATGGCAGTAGCGATTGTAAGGGGTGACTGTCCATTGCAATACATCGACACATTTTGTATGCAAAAAATTACTGACGAGGACCCACACACCACCGAACAACATGTATAACTCTTACTTGCGCAATGCCCATGTTTCTTTTGTGGTCTATGACAAAACTTCCTACGAGAGAGAGAAGCCAGAATCAGTTTTAGTTATTTGTTTGTTTAAATGAGGGTATAAAAGTAGTAAGCAATGTTTTCTAGATATATTGCTAGTTTTGTACAGAAGGTTATCTCTGACCTTTTATGACTGAATAGAGATTAGGCTTAGTAATGGGGTCATGATTTATAAATTATAAAAAAGGTCTTAAGTATATCAAAAGCATCATACTCATCCACTTAAAAACGAAAGTTTGAAAAATCTTACGCAAATAGACCATTTTTAATACTGACATTTAAAAAAAAGTATTGTTTTTTAAACGTATAAACTGTGCGGAGTTTATCCACTAAATAGGTTTCCCTCCATTATAACCATGTCTGATTAAACTTGCTTCTATATCGCACTAAAATGTTTTATATGTTAAATAATTCTCTTTTTCCTTAAAAACAGTATGAATTTCTACGCCTGCCACGTCTAGTCATGTAATCTAGCTTCAAAAATACCAGTAGTGGTTATAAATACAAGCTAAATGCGTGTCTTTAGTGCAACGGGTTATACATTGGTAATATTCCAATTTAGATTGCAGTTTAAAAAGAGAATCAGTCATTCGAGAATCCATCAGTACTATGACATTTACACCACCTTAAGTATGAGCTAGAACGGGAACAATTTTCGAATAGAGTCATGGCCTTGTTTACTTCGTACACTATCCGAATTTCCTATTCACGTAAAAACTAGTCGGACTGCTTTCTGAGGAAGACTAATAACAAAACGTGAGAAACTCACAGCTTAAAATTGTTTTTAAATTATGTGATTAGCGAATCTTTCGTACAATTTAAAACATGGAATTGTTTAAGATAATTTCAAAACATGTGTTAGTGATTAATAGATGGGGTGTTTATTGCTATCTGGCTAAATAATAATGATTTAGGCGTTAAAAAAGATGCGAAAATTGTTTGGCTCTTGGTAGACTTTTGATATTTAGTTTTTATACGTCAAGGGATTATCATATACGCTTTTTTTGAAAATTATGTCAAACAAGACCTTTAACAAATTTGTTGCAGGTGTTCAATATTAAGACGCGTTTTTATTCAGAAAATACGCTATGAAATGGAATTCAGGGTTTTTGAAGATATTCGATAATTCTTGAATTTTGGAAACACCAGAACGAGGGACGAATAGTTATTGTGTGGGTTATTCAATAATTCAGATGTAAGTACATTTCTAGTAGAAACATGTCAGACAACTCGAACTAAATTGTGTTGAGCTAGTGAAATTTAACCGAATGCATTAAAATGAACTGGTTTTCATCAGTTTTCCCTTATTTTCGGGATGGAAGTGGCTGTCAACACAAGGAAACCAACGAGTCCACGACATTTAACAAACTGAGTGAATTATATTATATCTGTAATAAATTATTTTAAATCTGATACAATACGTTTTTTTATCAAATCAAACAAGGATAAATCTTAAATACAATTAATGCCTACAATCGATTACCAATTTATTTGCCAATTATTTTTCAACCCCGAATATCCATTTTGTACACAATTCCTCAGATACCGCCGGAGACAAAAGGATAGTTCCTGACGACTTAGCACTTCGTTCATTAAAAAAACATTTTTCTATTCTTTTGCAACTGAAGAGCACGTTGATTTAGTAAGTACCCACATAACTAATGACTTCATATTCTACTATTAAAAGCGAAGTAGTTCAAATCCTAATGATGCCGATTCAAAGTTATAAGCCATGTTTAGTCACAACCGATGTTTTTTTTCAAGACACTGCTAATTTAAAATAATGAAAGCTTGTCTTTTAAAGGAGTTTAAACATGCTTTTTCTGACTTATTTTTAAGTCGACCTCCAGCAACCAATAAACACTCTGTGGATGTGACGGGCGTGTGAATATTTTCACTAGGATGATCAATGAAGTTAAATTGATTTCGGACCCTATATCGATGCATATATGGACGTCTTTGCACAATTACGCTTACAAAGAAGCGGTATTTGCAGCAGAACGCCTGTTTGCGGAAACCAAAAGCGACGAAAGTCTGTATTTGTTAGCGAGCTGCTTATATCGGATGAATCGGCCGAAGCAAGTTATTCGTCTTCTCGCACCTCACGTTTCTCCTCTTGGGAAATGTCGCTTTCTGTTGTCAAGATGCTACTTTGATTGCAACATGTTAAACGAAGCAGAAAGCTCCCTTTTTGGGTCTAAACGAACGTCACAATGCCTAAATGATATTATGTCGGACTTTGGTGATCAAGCCTGCTACGCCTTTCTTCTTCTCGGTGATATCTACAAACTTCAGCAGAAGTATAGTGAATCTGTAATGTGTTACAAAGAATGTCTTAAGTTGAATCCTTTCATGTGGACAGCCTACGAGAATTTATGCTCTATTGGCGAGTTCGTGGACCCTGAACTGGTATTCAAATTAACCCCTTCCCTTGGCCTCATCACGCCGACGTTTACTGTCATCGGTCAGACAGTTTCAGCTCAAAAGTCCCCTTTGAATGTCAATATGAAAGCTGAAAGGGACAGGCTTGGCAGCAGAGAAAATGTCAATCCAAATAGTCCCGTTAATGACGCCTCCAATGTAATGCGCGAACCCGATGTGGATAGGCTAACAGCATCTGCAAACACTCCACAAGTTGTGAAAAGCACTTACATTTCCCAGTGTGCAACTGCTAACTCTGAAATTTCGACAACGCAGCCTCAATTACCTGATGGTTCCTCAAATACTTTTACACCAGCTAGCTTTCCGATACCTTTAGTAACGCCTAGTGCGCCTTTAATAGATGAAGATGAAATCAAATCCAAACGTACTGCAACTGTAACCACTGTTTCCGCAGACAGTGGGAGCACTACAACTCCATCGTTCGGAGTTTTGTCACTGATCCCCCAGAGTCCATTATTCGCATGCGTCCCTGTAAGTTTACAATTCTTAATTGCATAAAGTCAAAGTCGAATGTTAAAGTAATCAGCTAATCTCGTATTCTAGGTTTTTTCCCGTCAGGATGTAAATTCCCTGTTTTCGAATTCAGCGATGGCTTTAGATGGGACTCAACCCTTCCGATTGGCTTTGCACCAGACTGCGCTTAACCGTCAGCCAAACACTCATCGAGTGCAACCAAACAATAACCAACTCCAGACAACCATTCTTTTTAACTCATCTGCTGGGCCAACTTCCACGATATCTCAATGGCGAACCCAAGATACAAAGGCATCAGCTCTGATGGTAGCTACCCCATCTGTATCCCTTAGTGGTGGCATGTTTGGTCACACGTGTGGTCGGACTTCAGGCATCACATCAACAATTCCTCCATGGCTTTCAGGTTCTCCCATTTCATCAACTACCTCTGCGACTGGACTTTTAGGCAATACCAGCACCCCAGCTACTAGTGGAACAGCCCTACTCAATGCCTTCCCTCAACCCAAGACTATTCTTTTTGACGAGTTAAGCGAGACCGGTGCTGCCTCTACAGCTTTTACAACATCTAAACTAGATAACACCACGGTAGATACTGGTGCAATCGCTGAAAGTTTGCGTCAGGACTCGCCTGGATCTGACGATGGTGGAAGTTTTATTGAACCCCGCACTCGTGCTCAAAAAGCCCGTGCAGCCGCCGCGGTTAACCAGCGGAAATCACCGCGCTTTAGTAGGACTTCGAAGGCATCAACTGACGATACCTCAACTGATGACCTTAAGAAACCTATTATTAGGCTCGTTACCACTAAGTCGCTCTCCCGTCACCATGCGACCAAAGAAGATTCAGTGGAACATGCTTCCGTAGCCGAATGCCCAAAGGTAGTGTGCACGGCTTCCAGTGATCGTAATGACCCCCGCACTGAATCAATACTTGCTTACCTGCAACTTCTGCGCTGTCTCGGACGTTCTTTTAGCCTCCTCTTGCAACATGATTATAAGGGTGCTGTCACTGTGCTCTCCGAGTTACCCAGCGAACAGCTAGCCACGGGTCGCACTCTTGCCTGGGCCGCTCGGGCTCATGTAGATGCAGCTGACTACCCAAATGCTCACCGAATTTTCAATGAATTGAGACGTTTGGAACCATGGCAATTGTACGGCATGGATCTCTTTTCCACAGTTCTGTGGTACCAAGAAGCTGAGCACGATCTATCTCAGTTAGCGAATGATCTGCTTAGTTTGGATCGCAGTGCTCCTGAACCTTGGTCAGTTGCCGGTAACTGTTTCTCCCTCCAACGTGAGCATGATACCGCCATACGCTTTTTCCGCCGGGCACTTCAGGTACGTGTATACAGGGCTAACATGATCACTTGCTATCTTCCCTACTATTCACCAAGCAAGCCCTTTATCATGGTTTTTCTTACAGGTATCCATGTTAGTACGAACAGTTAGAGTACAGTTAAAACCGGGTCACTTTTTTATGCTGCTGACAACTTTGTTAAAGTGGGGATGTGGCTTAATTCCTCTCGCTACAGCATTCGTATGTTTTGGTGCAGTCATCGAAGATTTATGGCTTCAAGTGGTGCGTTTTCACTTGATGAGAGTGCTTGAGGAGAAAGAGTGTATGCCCTGTCAAGGAACCGTAACCTGCGGTCAAACCTACGATTTTATCTTAGCGCGTGCATTCAAATTGTGTTTGCTTCTCACCCTTTCCAGGTATGCCCTACAGATGCCTACTCATGCACCCTTCTTGGTCACGAGTACATGGCTATAGACAATCTTGAGCGGGCTGTTTCGGCCTTCCGTCATGCCCTCCGGTTAGACGACCGCAATTACAGTGCTCGATTTGGTCTCAGTAACGTGTACTTCAAACAGGAGTACTTCGGTCTTGCTGACGCGCACCTTGTGCGGGCACTCTCCCTCTTTCCCAACTCTCCTCTCTTATTAACTCATCTCGGAGCAATTCGAGCACGCATCGGCCGCCTCGACGAAGGACCCGGCAGTGCACTTGATTGTCTCAACAAGGCTGTCAGTATCAACCCTAGTAGCCCCATAGCACTCTATCATAGGGCGTGTGTGCTGTCATCGCTTGGGCGCTACCAGGTCTGTCGTTTTCTCTTGATTGATTTACATTATTTTGTCTTTCCCAATTTTTTATTTGAAATTGCAATAAAATTTGGGGTACCAGTTTAGAAAGGAATCAAATAAATTCGCCTTTTTTGCCAAAATGCGTATTCTATCAAGACATCCAGCCGATATGACCTTGTCAAAATTGTCTTGTCCCCATTTCCCCGAATTAATTCATGCCACAATATTCGCCAGTTTTCTTCGAAATCCCATGTTATTCGGTATAATTTTCAAATTTGCGCCATCTAATTTCTCGGGTTATTGTCATTGCACTCAACAGTTTGGACCTTGAGAACCCACTTTCGTGGTCTCGTGACATTTGGAACGCCCACATTTGTTCATAGGCCAGCAACTTCTAATCACTATCGGACTGTCAACACACTGCTGTCTCATTGATGTGTTTTCACTTTCGTCTCCCAAAGCATTGTCAATAATTGTACGAGAATTCAAGCCTGAAATTGTAGCATAGTGGCTATAGGTACAATGTCAATATTCTTTCTCATGGATAATCCATGTTTATCTATTTTTTGCATAAATTGTGTCTTACCTAATGTGTTTTTCCCATGAAAAAAAAAAACATTCTTTCGGCGTAAGTACTCAAAATCACAGAGTTCACTAACAAGAAAATAACATTCACGAAACAGCTTTAATAATGTAATGTCTTGTTTTGAAATTTGGGCTGCGAATCAGCATGCAAGATCTGCCCTCACCTCGTGTATAATGCGTCAATTGTTTCAACTTTAAAAACGAGTCTACTGGCTCGCCAAAGTTTTTGACTTTTACTCGGCTTTGCTCCAAACCCATCCATCTGTGGGAAAAAAATTAAGTCATCAATAGGGTACACGAAGAACCAATATTATTTGCAAATTACATGTTAGTTAAGGGTATGACTAAGGTGCTCCGTAGTCGCTGCCATCACGTTATCATTCAACCACGTAATACGCACGCTGCTGGTTTTTTGCATGCATGGTTTTCTCATCATGCGCGTGTACTGGGACCAGTCGTTCATGCGTTCACGCGGTTTCTGACTCGAGCTTGTCTTAATGTGGCAGTAGATGTAAGAGCGGTATTTTTTTAGTTTATTGCAAACTCATCTAAAACAAGGTTTTAAGGCAGCCTTCGATAGTTAATCAATTCAAGGCTATTAAGAGCCTCACCGGACCGTTATGTTGCTGCCGTAATTGCGGACCACTGTACATTGGTAAACAGCGTCTCCTTGACGTGGTGGTGGCTTCTACAGGCGTAAATCATTCATCAATCGATCAATTACGGAGGTCCTGTTTAAGCCAACGACTGAACTTAAGTGGTTGAAATCTCGAGTTTGTCAAAAAATCTAGCAATTCTGCCTGCAAATATTCAGTAGACACTATTTATAACTTGTTGGTTCTGAAACGCAAAGTGGTGTGCTTGTTTTATTAAGACTAAAGTACCTGGTTTTCCTCTCGATAAAATTCCCGCTAGGTAATCGATCATTCTAGAACGCTTAAACACTTGTATTTTTGCTTCAAATTTTGTCTATGTATACCAGCCCCCCAGTCTCCGTGAAAGGCGCTATAATCAGGTTTCGTTTTCAAGTCAAATAAGTGTTCATTTTTTCGTAGCCTGCAATTGTAAGGTTTGCTGACTAGAAACGCCTAAAGTTGAAAGGCGCTTTTGCGTTCAAAAATTGCAACCCGAAATCGGGTGTTGCACTAAGTCTGAATACGTGTTTTATCTAGGTTCCAACCGTTGACATTTATGCCTTATTTAGGATGCTATCGACGAGCTTGAGCGCCTTATTCTTCTCACTCCACGAGAGGCGATGATCTACTTCATGTTGGGCCATGCATATCAAAAGATTGGTAACTCCCCTCAGGCCATGATCTACTACTCCTGGTCCATGGAATTGGACCCCAAGGGTGTGAACACTAATCTCCGTGACATAATGGCCAACGTACCCTCCTCCCAGCAACCCTCACTAGCCCCCTTCACGTGCAACATTGGAGGAGTAGCGACCGAGCACACTCCCGGAAGCACGGTCCGCCATCACCGGCGTGGTGTGCGTCGGCCAGGTCGGGGACGTCAGGGTGCCTCTCGAGGTGTTTCCCATCGTCTCTTCTTAACCCCTAGCTTTCAAGGTGTGGACGATGACGATGCTACTGATGGTGGCGAGGGCATAGTCGTGGGAGGTAATGCTCTCTTTGGAGAGGATGGCAGTGTAGCTGATGGGGGAAGAAGCATTTATAACCTCCAACGGAACCGAAGGAGACGGGGATTCTCTACGTCCTTGCGAGGAGACGAAGATGAAGGCGAAGGCGAAGAAGAGACCATGGATATGGGTGAATAATGTAGCAAATAAAGCTGTGTACTCATGTATCTCTTATGCATACGCTCGTGCGCCACCTACCATCACTTTCTTTTAACATCAAAACTTGCTTTTATGGATTTTGTCAGCGTGCACTCCTGTGTGTTTGTACGCTTTTAATATATCCATTTGATATTTGACAGTTGATTGATCTTAGCCTTCTGCAACAGCTGAAAGCAGCAAGTAAGTAGGGAAAATCCTATAATTGATGGACTTGGCTAAATGTTTTTTTTCCAAGATGAATCACTCTTCCTCAAGCCTGCCCGTAATTGAACTATTGCGCAAATAAGGCTAGTGAACTAGTCACTTCTTTTATAAGTTAGAAACACACTGAACCACTCAATATCGAGACTTATTGCAAATTACATGAATTTACTTTAAATATTATCTAATTGTATTGCTGTTATTCGGTATTTTTACCCATGAAAGGTGGAAGCTATTATGCTACAATCCTGATTGTAATGTTAATCACAGTAATTGCTTCCTACTTAATTGCACCTGAATTAGAAAGCGCTTCCTCACGTGGCTAATTTTGCCGATGATGTGTGTCCTGGGGACAACGGCTTGCTTCACTTTTGCCTTAAACGGTCTACGGTGGGTGAAATTTTATCAAGTTAGGCAAACTGCCTGTACAACACTTGAATTCCATTTTTAGGCTTGGCATAGTCCTGCATTTTTGTGGGCTCATTTGGTGCATTGTGTTTTGTGGTTTAGGACGTAAAACACCCTGGGGGGACTCGCAATTGCGACAGTTTGGGTCCTGATTATGAAATTGAGTTTGCAACCAAAAGTTCCATCCGTTTGGGCTTATTAGCGGAGACTGAGGCTGTCAAGGCGTCTGGAGGGCGAGAACACAAAGAGCCCACTATACTCCTAATGTCTTCCCTTGTTTAGTAATCTACTGCGGTTTCGTTCGCACGAATGTGTATCGAGTACAACGCAACAACTGACGCCCCCTAGATTGCCACACACCACAATGGGAATTAACAGGCCACTAAATGCACTTTTTTCTGAGGTTTTTATGCACGCGGCAATCAATGTGCACGCTACTTTTAATTGAATACACGAGGACGTTAATTTGTATTCATCCTGTCTGAAATTTCAATTGGCGCCAAGGTGTAATATTCATCAGGCACTTAGGTGTTTAATTAGGGAAACCAAAGTGTAGTCAAGTCAAGAGCTGTTTCTTTTGCGAGTCACTACCAGACAAAAGTAGGATGATAGGCAAAGCGATGAATGTCACCAAGCCCCGTGTTCGTCTCTTTCTTCATATGCACAGGTCTGCACGGAGGTAAAGGAGCATCTTAGTAACATCGTTTTACCATCAAATCGGTCAAATTGCATTGATTCTGTAAATGGAATGAAATTACCCACTCAAAGGTCCCTCCGCTGGTGATAATTGCCTACAGAGTGACTAAGCCTCTTGGAGGTTCTGGTAATTGCTATCGTCTTGCTCAGCTTACTAAGTCATTGTAAGAGAGATTCGCTGTGAAGCCATTGATCGACCTTTAGGCGTCGCGTTGGATGCGTAAGTTGATATGCAAAAAGGCCGGTTAACTACTCTAAAAAAGCAAAACATTCTGTTCTTTAATGTAAATGTAGACCTCGCTTTAAAGGGCATGGTTATTTGGTGACACACCTCGGCCTTCCAGGAGAGCATCGGAAAGTCCACTGTCTCTGAACTTATCCTGTAATGCCAGACCAATTCATGCCAAGATTTGAGGTTTCAAGTTAGAAATTTGAAGTAAGTTTTAAAATGTAACTGTGACACCCGAATTACCCTTGTGGTTGACTGTGATCCTGAAATTTTTGGTTAGAATGCTTAAGTTTGACATTCGTGTCATTTTTAAGAAGTTAGGTTTGACGCAACTTGTAAGGTAGAGGTCAACCACTGTCCTGATACTTTAACTGCAGCCCCTCAATGCTCTGTGCTTTATTTGCATCGTCTCAAGTTCGGGCCACTGGCTTACGAAGTCGACTGAGTAATTGTGCGAAACCACTGTGTTTTGAATGCTTCGTCACTGAAACCACGATGTGCTCGGGGATGATGAAAGTCGCGTGGCTGCCTGTACGGACATACAAATTATAATAATTTGATTTGACCAATGCAAACATTCAACTACAAAACTTTAAAGCTGCCGTGTTTTCTGTGTCACTTTGGTATCGAGCGTTTCAGTGTCCAAAGACTGGACGCAGCCAAAAAGGCATCTCACAATTGCAAATACCACCACTTACTGCAATTCGGTTGTCGTGGATCACCTAGGCAAAGGAGTAAAACCTCCCATAATTGCAGTAATTGAAATAAATTTGTCTTATAATGTGGAAACACGAACTATTTCACTGTTAGCATGCGTTACGCCAGTAGGGTGACTCGCAAAGCACACATGTGTTGGCACTTTTCCTTGACCGGGGTACTGACAGACAAATGGACGATTTCACAGTGCCTTGTCTCTTATAAGCCCCTGGTCTGGGTCTTGTGATGAAATATCCCTTTACTACGCGACGTAACTGTCGGGAAGCGATTCCACACAGGATTTTTTCCTCACGTTCAAATTTCTGATTTTGCGTAGTCATTTGTCCACCACCAGTCCAAAAAGGCCCCCTTGTTACATAACCTATCCAATTGTAGCGCACTTCTGTGGCCATTTCAATTGGCGAAACTCTTGTTTTGCCTGGACGCTTTCGGCAAGGATGTTTTCTCAAAGGACCAGATGGCTGTTTGACTCCGAATTGAAAAAAAATGCACGATGTTGAATTTTTAATTCTCAGAAAGCTGAGATTGACTCCTTTAATGTTCCGGTAAATGTCACTGCCTTCAAATAATGGTAGGATTTCCCACTGAATTCACAGTCCTCTAAACAGTATTCACTTTCCACCAGGGGAATATTCTTAAATATCTGCTGCATAAATTTAGTTAGAAATATGATGTATACTGGGGTGCGATCAAGTAAGTCTTTGCACTTTAGACATTGTTAAAAGTAAGTCTTGGTGAAAATAGCGTCAGAACAAATTTATTCGGGTTGACGTGATGACACCACCGGTGATTGCCAAAAGGGAATGGCCTTTTATGCTCGTTTAGTACTCTTGTTTTTTATTTCCCCTCATTTATCAAGGCTGTTTATTCAAAAATGGCATGTATTTGTCATTAGAAGGATTATAATGCAGAGATTACTTTGTATTACAAGAGGTAATATTGAGTCTGAGATGAACCATTATAATTTGCTTAAAGACGAACAAATGTTTCCGAGTGTATTTAAGCCGAAATTTTTTAATATCACAGGCATGGATTAAGAGCAAAAATTGCATCTATCCATCCAAGAGGATGAAAGGCACTTTGCTGCGCAACGTAGTCTTCCCACTGATTGGAGGTGCAGTCAAAATACGATTCTTCCCGGGAACAGCGCATCCCAGTTTCATAAATTATTACTTTCCCGGTAATTAATTAAGGTCTCGAGTCCCATGAAGTTAGATGCTGTGTAACGAGATCAACAGTTATGGGAAATTGAAATAAATCGCACACAGATGAAGGGTTGCGGCTTTTAAGTTTAACTTAGTGTCAGTAATAGAATTAAAAAAAAAACAAGGACGACGCCAGATTTCAGTATAATTTCTTATTGCATTCAAACCCAACCTACACAAATAAAGACCAAAGATTGTGCGTGTGAAATACATAGCAATAGTACCAAGTATTACTAACTGACTGGACTTAGCTACCGTCATGACCAAAATAAGTTTATAGGCGACAGTTCATCAGTTCACACGATTTTTATGGACTTCCAGACAAATGGAAAGGGACTATTGATAACATCATTCGTCTGCGTGTGTAAACGTATTACTTACAAGTGTCCGGGGGTTCGAAACAGCAGAATATCTTTTAGCTTGGCATATTGTTGTCAACAATCCGGAGAATCGATTCAGGCAGCGTACAAACCACTTTCCAACCAAGGTGTAAAAATACACCCGAAGCTAATAATTGCAAATTTTATTTTTACACATAAACGATTTTAAATACGGCCTCCTGATATCTGCTCTATTATTTTACCGAGGTCACAGTGGGTTAGAAAGCAAAAAAAAGATGGAAGACAAAAAAAAATCATCGTAAAAACACGCCTTTCACTTGTAGTCGATTGTGTTCGGAAGATGTTTTGCGCATGTACGCACTGCGGTCCATCGACTATGTACACAAACCCACACAAATGCGAGTGCCCGCAGGAAGGTAAAGAAGGAAACAAAGGACCGGTTGTGTCGTAAGAGGGAAAGCGTCACAATCAACGGCCAAACACATCGCTGCTGCACAAACCACGCCCAAACACCGTACCTCGCCTCTTAAAGACTAAAAAAACCGCGAGTGTACAAAAATAGTCACAACAAGAGGTGGAGACGGTGTGTACAGAGGGGAATGGGGGTCGGCGCGAAGCGACGGAATGGGGTGAGGGGTGGGAGCATCAGAGATCTCCATTGAATGAAGTGAGTGGATGCATAGGTGCGATAGCATCTGGCACGCCTCGAGCTTCAAAGGGGAATGCAGCCGAGGCTGTATTCACATGGCCGTGCGAACGATGCCTTCCTCCAAACCGGCTAAGCTCTGGCCATTTACACCTACCTACAAAATTTCCATTATAAAAATACAAGATTATACGCTCGTTCCTAAAAAAAAGCAATTCAAAGCACAAGAAGATAATCATATGGGGTATGCTCAAAAAAGGATCTGCTGGAAATTAGTAAAATGCCGATTTTGCAATAAAAACGCCCATTCAATAAAAAAACAATATTTTACGCTTTAAACTATGTTAACATATGGTGTGTTGAAGAAGTGCAAGATGCAATGCTAGTTCGATCGCCTTTCGTAGTATAGCCGAGAAAATTCAAAATTGTAAGATAAAACAATGTTTACCTGATTCTGAAGATACAAAGGTAGCCACCTCAACTCTGATTCACATAGAAATGCACTCGTACACTAGTGAACTTATAGTGTGTCCGACCATCACTGGACCAAAGTACTAAGGCACATGCCCCAATGTTCGAGGCTACTTTCCCCGGCGTTAAAAAGGACTCTAAAAAGTTAGTCTTGGGGGAACAAAGACGACACTTGCAGTCCAGCTACCACCTCTAAAAGTGAGGTCTCCGCTTAGAGATTGAGTTGAGTTCAGGTCAAGTTTTTAAATGAGGTCCCTCACTTAAACGAATAGATTTCTCAGCAAAGCATGAACACACATGGAATAACCGTCTACTGGGTTAAAACGTGATCACCTACTTGTGGCTGAGTGCAGGTCCCACATCTATGTAAATGTCAAAGGTAAACTGACTAAAGCCTGATTATCCTTCAGTATAAAGAAATGGTGACCACTTATTGACAGAGAGGGGGGATATGTAAGTCAGTGTAGTTTCGTGGGACAAGAAGACACTCAAATTCTCTATTTATTATTATTTCCGAAACAATGTAATGTACACACTACTTGCATCGAGTTTATTGTTATCAATTAGGCTATGTAATATGCTGCTTAAAAGGTAGTTATGTTCACGGTGTTGAGAGCATGTGAGTGCTCGTAATGGTATTTTTTGTTGTGAACGTTTTAGATGGAATTTAATAAAAGTATTTTCTAACTACAGTCTCGGATGTCACATTAACTAGTTCATATTAATTTCATGGCCTTCTTCAGATTAAGCAAACGTCTTGCACACTGACGTTGCTTTTGCACTGACCTAACTCTAAAGTGCTATTTAGAGATCACACGATCCTCACACACCAAACGTCTCCCTAGAAGCCACAACACGAACTGAAATTTGATGGTTTGGAAGTCAGCGTATTAATTTATACAAAATAGTCAGTTTCAACTAAATTATGTTTTTTTTTTAAAAAAAGACTAAATAGCCATCTGCCGTAAAGACATGTAATGTGCAGTTTTCTCTTTCGTTTTTGATCCACTTATCTCTAAGGCAGAGAGCGCCTTTTTGTCGTTTAAAAGCGGGCCTACTGGCATTCTAAAAACAAGCAAAGTCAACCATTGTGTGCTAATGTAAAATTGAGAAAACGAGCTAAACACCGTAACTTGAAATGAACAAAGTTTAATTGGCACCCACGTGAATTCTTTCACTGGAAAACCGTAAAATAAAAACTCATTCGAGCAAAGATTAGCCCATCATAATGCACCAAAACTCAGCAACTCTTAAGCAAACACATTTACTCAACCATGCTCATTATACAAGGGTCATTTCCAACACAGAAAATTTAAACATTGTGTTTTTAACTTGATGGTCGGATTTTTTGGTATTTACATTATTTAACAATACCTCCCGGCTAATGAATAAAAGAATTTGTCAATCTTCTCATCGTATCCTTTATCGCATTAAAATATCCATATTAACAAAATTTTGCAACACTCACGTCGGTTCCATTAGATTTGCTACGGTCACCTGGTTCCCCTGAGCCTCCACCATGTGCGGCCTCTTCAGTATCTAAGTCCTCCTTCTCGACCATCTGAGGACTTTCGCTGTCATCGGCCATCTCTGTTTCAGTACTGGAAGCCTCCTCTTCTTCCTCTATTGGACTTGGTGGTCGATACTGACGCGAGTTCGGTTTCGCAGAAGACGCTAGAGAAGGCATTGGTTGACTGGCAGGTGGTATTCTAACCACGGGGAAACGGGAGATGAAGGCGAGAGGAACGAGACCCTGCTGCTTGTTACCCTCGCCTGACTTCTCCGCGAGCATCCAATCTGGTTCTCCAGCTGGACACCGATCGATAATGCGGAGCTCCTCGTTGGGCCAAATGGGCAGCTCGTCGGGTTCGATGTAGGCGTCTGGCGAGCCGGGTCCTGCGGCCTCCAGACCACGAGGGAAAAGTGCATACACCCGGCCGTTATCTGCACGGCCTAAGAGCTCTATTTCAGCTATCAAAAGAATAAGACCTTATACTCTTTGCCTTTTCTAACCCACTAAATAGGGTAGTGTTTTAGACCACACTGATTGTCTTACGTAGTGTAAGAAAGTCAACATACTCCATCAAATCCCACTTTCAGTTTAGGACACCAATCGAAACTACCCATTACCTTGTGGGCAGCAGGTAAAACTTGTGTCGGGTTTTACAAATACGTGGTCAACAACTACGAATTTCTTGTTTTCCAATGCCATGTATCATGCGATACATAGAAAAAAAGGATTTAAGGTAAATTTATGGCAAGATTTTGAGCATCATAGGGATTAGACGTTTTAATAAATGTTAAGTAAACTCGACTACATGGGTTCTCTACAACAATTACAGACAAAACGAGATAGATTACAATTAGTACACGAGGTTAGTATGATTACAACTTCCTACCTGAAAGGTACCGTTCGCATTCAGCATCCCCATCACCTTGGTCGCATTTATCCAGTGAGGTCTCATGGTCGGAAAGAGTACGAGCATGTAACGCAGCCCCATTTTCCACAAGAATACGCGCAAGCTCCACATTTCCACAGGATGCAGCACAGTGAAGCGGCGTCCACCCGTCTGTGTCACCGGCATTGACGTCTGCACCGGCCTCCTTAACGAGAAACTCTACCACATCGACGCGACCTGCACAGACGGCATTATGAAGAGCCGTGATACCCTCATCGTTAGCCTCTGAGACGTCAGATACCTTAGAGAAAATTCCAATAACAATTATCAAAAGGTTGTATTATCGTGAATTTACTTAACAACTAAGATATCGATTTTTTAATTTAAGCCGAGGGAAACGATTGACTTGAGGTGATACCGAACTCAAAATAGTTAACGCCATGGATTTTATAACAATTTGAAAACTGGTAGAAGCTGTTTATGAATTTGAAGCACGTGGAAAACCCACGAATGTTGATGAGATAACATAATAAGTACTGAACCTTCATCTCCTGTGCTAAACCACAATTGACCGATACTTCTAGATCACCTCATGGACTTACCAAATATACTCAGATTTTCAATTTTTAGCACTCCTAAAATGCATTTTGACTAGCTTAAAAGCTTACCTTACCAAATCATTTACAAAATGATAATCTGATCATGACAACGACGGCGACGGTTCTTGCATACGAATGATATGCTAATGATCAGTGATCAGAAAGAAGCACTTTCTTATGATTGAACTTAAGAGTAAATGCAGAAGGCAAACACTTTTATTTAGCGGTTGTTTTTCCGAAAAATCACGGCAGTGTCTGACCCCGTTTAAATGACAATTACTTGAACAACCGCACAAGGTCTTTGAGTTTCACCGTGGCGCCGAGTGTTGCGATTGCAAAATTCATGCAAATAGATCGGCATTGGATACAACTTGCAATTAAAGCGAACGACATTCCTTTAATGAAAATCGTGTGGCATGGCGCTAAAATGATTCAGTTTTCACAGCTTCTCCTGACAACGACAAATTATACATTCATGAAAGCGGAGCCATAACTGTGAGAAGCATCATTAGAATGTTCTCATTACCAGGTTTTGCTGTGTGAAGGAAAAAGACTTCGCCATCTATTGACTAAATCTCCTGGAAGCTCTTCTAGCCTCTATCTTGAATGACTGTACACTGTTGTGCGCATTTTGTCCCAACAAAATCCCCTGGGTGAAAGAGACTATGTGCGATGTTTACTAATGAGAAGGGTACAAAGAGGTGGATGAATCCACAACTACGCGATTGCACAGATTGCCAAAAACTCCTCCTGGTGGACAAGAAATCGAGCTGGAATAAAAACAGGCCTCAAAATGAGGCCTACAATAAAGAAGAATTTGTGAAAAAAATTAATTTTTTTAGCAAATTCATATGTAGCTGTCTAAAAGAGGAACCACAGAAAGCATAGATCAGAACCAACGAAAAAAATGCATGACGAAAAAGTGATCGATAAAAATGTCATTTTTAACGGTAATTGTAAGGAATCAAACAGTTGGTATCAAAATGATAACTAATTAAAAGGGAAAAATCCGTCAAATTTAGTTTCGCGTAAGTCATTCCAAATTCCGTGAAGATAAAGAAACAAGTAGTAACTTACTGCAAGAAACATTTGAATGTGAAGAAAATAGGAAAGCTCAAGTCCACGTTAAGTGAAATTAAAATAAAGTAATCTAATTGGTCGAAATTAAATTCATGATAAGATGGTAAGAGAGCTGTAGATTAAAAACTACGACGGCATTATGTTGCCCCAAATATCGTAAATAAACATGACCACTTTTCTAAATTGATTAACGGTTCCCTCCCTTGATCTCGCAACTGTAAGGGATACCTGAGAAGTGTGTTCATGTTTATGAGCTTAGAACACACTATTGTCTCAATAAAATATTTATTCAACAAATAATACAATAAAATTGGCGCACCACTTCGTGTAAACATGTCTAGATAAGATATTAGGAAATACTTTGACATTCTGAGCCACCATGTCTAAACCTTCAAGTGAAAAAGTGACCAAAAACAGAGATCTCGAAGCAAGAATGAGTATTAAATTTCAAACTGGCATGTGATATTTCATTGGAAATCGATTAGTGCCAATAAAACTAGGGATTAGCATAATTTACGAGATTGTAAATACGACTATGTGTTAGTCGCCTAAAACCACCAATTCGCAAAGGCGATTGTGTGACAATATCCGAAAAAAAATTAAAGGAGTTTGCGTACTAGAGTGTTAGCGTAGACGCAGTTATGTTAAATGCCTATAAATGGGCGATTCGTAAAAAAATGACAAATGGTACCCACTTTTAAAGAGTCAACGCACTGGACAAGGTAGAGAAGAGTTGCGACCACACCATTGTTTTGACCCCGTTAAATATTTTGCCTTATTTATGTGATTGGTAAGGAGTGCAGTGAGGAAGGTGGCTATATCAAACTAACAATACATTGGTAACCAAACAATAAATATGGTTGTATGAGAACCGGGAACGTAAACTTGCAATAATGGTTTTAAGAAACGTCACTTCTATGGGAAGATGCGGGATTTACAGATAAATTATTCATTCACAGAAAATGTGTAAGCAACTCACCTCCGCGGCCGCCTTCTTAACCAGCGCCAAATCCCCTTCCAGTGCAGCATCAAGAAGCAAGGCAAGTGGGTGAAATCGAACTCCGGCCTTTGGGGAACCAACTTCTCCCTCCCTCTCCGCCTCATCTCCCTCATCTGCAGTCCTCCGAAGAATCGGTTTCATGCCAACCTCGCCTTCCTCACCATCCTTTTTTGGAGACTCTTGGCTGGCTGCAGGCAAACCCTCACTATCTGCAATCGCGCTATCTTCGCTACCATCAATGACAGCCACAGTGTTTTGCGTAGTTTTCGAAGGTGCCAGAGAGCTACTACTAGTAGAGGTGGTTGAGGTTGATTCTTCCTCAGAATAGGGGACAGCTGTTTCTGGTAAATCGCTGGGCAAGTCATTAGCGGACAGTTTTGTGGCTTCCGGGAGCAGAAATTCAACGCTTTGAAGTTGTCGCGATGCCATTTGGGCTTGAAAGTACTCACTAGCTGAGCGCTTGTATTCGTCTGTGTGAACATTGCGCCGTTGAGGAGGGGTAAGGTAGGTGGCATTGATCACTTTCTGTGAGGCGTAGCGTGGTTTTAGAGGGACTGGGCTAGGGGAGGGCAGATCAGGACAGAACAAGGCGCCAGATCTAGCGGTAAAGTTGGAGATCTCTGTTTGAGGAGCAGAAGTAGAGGGCTGGGTAGAGTTGTCGACCGGTGCGGAGGCGGGGCGATTGAACCGAGGTGAAGGTACAGGAGTGGAATTGCGCTTAGGGGCTCCAGTAATTGAATGGCGGCCAAACCTGATTGGGCAAATTCACGTTTAAGAAGTATCCATGAAAATATATGTGGTTTAATTTTAATCGTACAGGGAGATTAGTAAAAAAACACTAGGCAAACATGCTAGGTGACATTCAATAAATTGTAGTAATTTGGCAGGTAAATTTGGTTTTCACAAAAGCCGTTATCCGTTTTAAAGGACACCTGTTGATAAACAGATTTTTCATTTCGACATTTGATATATGTTTCGCCTAGACCACTTTTAAAGCAACATTTAATTTTGACTGCAACTGCTAATTTTAAAATGCATTACAAAAACGTGCCGTTTGGACATATTTTACTTTCACCGTCGCAAAGAAAAGAAACCTACTAGGGCTCACAAAAAGCAGTTTGTAGTGCTGACTACTTGACAGAACCGAGGCGTTGAGATTGGTTTAAAAATCACCTATTTTAAAATTTTCTTACCCCGAAGTTGAAAAACACTCTGGTCGACCAACTTGAATTTGATGATGACCAAATCAAAGCCTCGATTGAATTGGATCGTAGCCAAGTAACTGCGTGAGGGACTGCCGGGGGGTTAAATTCATTACACACACATTCGATAACAACAATTTAACATTACTTAAAGTGTCGAAAATCTGGTATTTAGATTTCGCAAGAATTGAAAGAAATCAACTTAATACAAAAAGTCGATATTTGGGAACGATCATGGTCCAAGCCTAATGAACTTGCACAAGCAACATCGGAAATTGATTTGCTTCTAAAAAGACCATATTGGCAATTTGCCGAGATTACAGAGTGTCGTCAAATTCATTACACGAACACACACCCGATAACAACCATTGAACATCGCTTACAGTGTCCCCGAACAGTCAATTTGCCGGGATTACCGAGGGTCTTGTTTGTGAACCTCCGTCAAGGAATGGAATGACAAAGTCTGATGTTCACTGTCAGCACCTTACGTCGATGGTAGAAGTTAACAAGGGAGAGAGACCAGAATAGCGATTTCCAGGAGAATCGTATTCCTCAGGGCAATTCAAGGCCTCACGCATATTTAATAACTTGTAAAAAAACTATTTAAGCTATACTGGGAGGTGGTGTTGCCTTCACAAGACATAGAATAGTTCCTTGCTTAGAAGGACCAATTTGATTAAGGAGAAATAACTAAGTTGTCAAGTTATCAGACAAAACTTAAAATAAGTAACAGAATCGGTTCATTAACTTTTTTAAATTGAGGTTTATTTTAACACTGCTGGCTAAAAAGGGAGGTTCTGACACTGATTCAAATTGTCTTCGGGTGGCACAAGTATAAACGCCCAGTCTAGTTGCCCTACACGACTCAATTCAAACAAGTAACTACGCTGAAACACATTACTGAACTTGAATACCAGTGGAAGCTTACATTTCCAACCACTGCCCAGTTCCTGCTCCCTACCTACACATGTATATCGTTTGTGCTCAGTATGCAGCTCATATCTCAACGGATCAGCATTCAGCCGCCATATCATAGCCCACAAACAAATGATGCATTTTTCTGGGCAGGGTAGAGGTCCGCGGTTTGTGAGTGTTACTTCCACAGCAGTTGTTTCACATAAATAAAGCACTTCACATTTCACTGTTGGTTGCTGCTAAAACTGGCAGAATACCGAAACTTTGGAGAAAATGCCTGCGCAATGACACCGAAAAAAACAGGTACGCCAGGGAGGAAGTAAGTAAATCTAGCAAAATGATTTTATATGTCGGCAATAAAAGTATGAAGCAAAATGTTACCAAAGGATTAGATAACTATCATTGACTTAGAAAAAAGAGTCAAAAAATCGGCTGGATTTTAACGCTTATCAGTAACAACATTCTAATGACTTATTTCACAATTTGAGGAACCTAAGTCATAGACCATAGCCGATTTTACGGTTTCATTATTAATCTAAGACCTTAATTATTCCCACATTTAAACGTAGCAAGAACCGCAAAGACCAATAACGACATGAAATTCGAATAGTGCCCATTCATCATTCATTTCTGCAGTGCAAGGTGCATTCACGAACATGGTAGGACCACACTTCAAGCCAAATGGGAGTGTTACCAAAACAAGCATCATCAACCCAAGCATAATGGGATGTCAAGGCAGCTTCACCAACACTTCGTACCTCAATTTCAGATGTCCAAGGCTACCTCAAGTCGTGTAACCAGTGTCCAAATTAAAACCAAGATGTTCATAAAGTAAACAGCACCAGCACTACTTTAAGGTGTTATGGAAAAGGAAGCCATAAGCCGGCCAATGACATAAAAACTTCAGCATGATTTTGCTCCATGGTCTTCGTACTGATCGTCTCATTAATAAGGGCAGTAAAGCGAGAGCTACGAACAACATTGGAAATCGTATAGACAAACGGTGATCGATTTCGAGACCCTGGCGATAGATAATAACTAGACTTCAGGGAAAGGCGAGAAAAAAAACTTTCAGGTCAAGTCAGATACACACGCTGAACGCAGCCGTGGTGTTTTTATCTCAAAAACCACTAAGTTAAAATATAACAGCCAATAAAAGACTGGTTTACTTTACCTTACAAATAGTTTGAAGCAGAAATGGGTCATTTTTATTGAATAATTATGGCTGTCTGTTTTCCAATGCCTTGATTCGCAAGAGTTCAACGGCGGAAAAAGTGTATTGAAATAATCTGACCACATAACATTTTACACATTGTCTTTCGCACCGATAAAACCCCTTCAGAAGTGCAGATATTCAGGAACACGCTGCGTCATGATATTGTCATTCGGCCAAGATTTTAAGGAAATGCTGCTTTGCAATCATATCCTGTTAAATTTGGTAACAGCAAGAAATGAATGCATCGATTGAGGGCAATGATGGGTTATCAGGGTCTTGAAATGCAATCGTCAATGCAAAATGAACCTGTTGAAACAAAAAATTTGTGTGGTTTTGCAAAGATGAAATAGAAGAATTACTGTCGACCCAATGCGAATGGATTAAAAGCTTACTTTAAAAGTCAAGTGCATTTTGACGTCAGTAATCTAAACACGAAATTATCATTAAAGATTCTAAGGGAGAAATGAATACTCAATCCGTAACTCATCAGTGCATATGAACAGAGTAAAGACCCGCTAAATTAGTTGAACCCGCACACATAGGCTGTATTATGAAAAATACAATAGCACCTATGAGATATTTCATTAAGGACACACCAGATACGCAAGACCTACAAGCTGAACAAAGGTATTGTAATACCTTACAGGCTTAACCAACGCCAAGTCAATTAACCAATTTGTCCTTCATTGAAAATCTTCGCAGACACTTAGGTCATGAAGATGCATGCCACGGTTTGTTAGGCGCCATGGTTTAAAGGCTCATTTACAGAAAATCTTTTACTGCAACTGTAGACCGGATGTAACACGGAACTTGTGTACACGGGTGTACGATGACCAAACAGCATCATGTTTCTGCTTGCAATCTACACGGCGCAAGAAGCAACACACTAGATCACAAAAAAAGCCAAAGAAGCTGGTTAGTGTAAGCAAAGAGGCAGAAATTTAGGCTAATGATACGATCAAAAGATCTGGTACGTAATTAGGGAAACGATTTGAAACATGGGCGCTGTAAAAAATGGGCGCCATTCACAACGACAACAAAGTGGTTGAAAAAAAGCAGAGTATTCAAAGGATCTGCAAATGATAACTACGTCCGCCACTGCAGCCGACGTGACAGAACGGAGAAGGCCGACCTAATTGGACAGAATGGTACCAGCTTCACGAAAACTTCACCTCAGCAGCGAAAATGGATTTTGCATGTCTGCTGGACGAGTGAGACATAATTTTCTTATTTGAGCCAGTGCAAAATGTGACTTTGGAAACAAGAGTGGATGTTGCAGTGATTTCCAAAGGTGAACAGAATTGGTGTGAGATAATGTAAATTGAGCATAAACAAAATATCTTCAAATATAGCGGAATGGTTGGAGAACTAATCAACAGCACATTTCTAGCATCACCGTGAGCCAGCAAGGCGCAATAGAGTTTTAATAAGTAACATGTGTTGATCTGTCTTGCCGAATTAAATAATGATAGCAGCAGGTCCTAATCACAGATGGCTGTTGCTTATTTTCTCTGCGTTCCTTTAGGTGTACCTAGGAACACTGCATAGCAAACACTAATATGGGCATATATTGTTTCAGGCAGAGAAGTGAAATGAAGTCGGGATGGTGCTTATCATAGTAAGCAGGGGGACCTAGTGACTTCATGGTTATTGTGGTAATTAAGATCCTACAGAATCAACTGAAGACTTCGCTATTTTTCAGATACTTTCAAAAATTAAGGGTCTCTTGAGAAAAGTAATGATTATTTTGCGGACGTATCTGAAAATGGTAATACATATAACAGTAAACTATCAAAGAAAATATCCTTGAGACGAGCACGCACCCGACTCCAACATGAGACCTGCACTTTAAATAGGTTTTATGGTACTTATTGAGCTCACAAATAATTCTATGTTTTCGCCCTCATGACATCCAAATTTGTTAATGTCAACAGTATAAACGCATGGCTTTACGTGAATTAGTTTTTCGCATTAAATTTATGGGATGGTAAAATGCGTTATTTTGTATACAAAAAGAATGTTTGAATTTGTAACTTTTTTCACATGCAACACGTACTCGTGATTCGCCGGCTTGGGAGGACGACCGGTAGGTTGAGCCTCTGGCGGACAGTAGGAAGGAGGAGGCTTAGGTGCTGCGTTTGACCTGGCCACAGTGGGATGAGGGCGACGCTGGGACCGCAACCGTTCGATTTGCTGGTCAAGTCGGCAGAGTTCATCAAACGACGCTTTCCACCTTGTGCTGTCCTGTGGCCATAACATGGGATCACAAGGTTATTACGACAAGAAGTGCGAAATGACTACTCTTGAAATTCTCTAAGTCACAGTACTGAAGTAACGACGAAGTATAAGGTGCAGTATTTGCGGTCTGTCAATAGCTAGATTTAACCGAGAGTAGTGACAATATGCTAGGGAGTTTGATTTAACAGCTTATGTAGTAGTGGAGGTTGGCAATTTCTTAAGGGATAAGACAACTTGAGATACGATCGTGAAACTGGCTGCACGCGACAAGCTCACTTATTTGTTTTTTTAAACAAAACTGATTAAAGGCTACTTCAAATCTGCCTCAATATGACGATGGTTGGCTTTCGTAAACTCACACCGCCTAGGCCTATTTAAACCAAATACTACGTTCTTCAATAAGTGGATTGAATATGAGAACAGAAGCATTCAATTCCACATGCCATTAGAGTGAAGCATCAATTTCAGAAGCCATAAAACACAGCAGTATAGAATTTTATGTTAATCCCGTAACATTCGGATAAATTGTTGCAAAACGTTCCTTTATTCACTTATATCGGGAATGCGATAGTGAAATATGGCAAGGAAACCTGCTTTTATCTCGTGTTAGGGCAAGAAGTTTTTTTTTTATTACGAACTATACACAGTAAACAAATATTGCTGTTCACAATGGCCAAAAAATCTTACAAGACTTGGCTGACATAAAGAAATATTATCAAGTGAACGAGAGACATTTACCACTATTGAACTGGTATACGTGCCTTACTGACTGAAGTATGCAGTGACTGTTTGCAAAAAAAAGTTAAACATTTTCACACATGAGAATGAGTCTTCAAACATTTTAAATACTCACAGTCATGTGGAGCAGAGAAATCAGACGCAACAGACAAATCTTAGGGTAAACGCCAACCCCAACACGTTTAGCTAAAATATATCAGCGAAATAAAACCTTCGGTACAACAAAGTCCACAACACCTGGTCGGTAAAAAGTAAGCTGGTGTTTAGACTGGCACATAATTCACAAATCAGTAACTCGAAGAAGTATTTCAATAAAATATAAATACACTAATGCTTGTTTACAAATGAGAACAAGATTTCGGGTCCAAATATCTCATAAATCGAAATAGTATTGACTTAATCTGACTAAAAATACGTTTACCAAACACTACACAACTTGGTATATCGAAAATTTTTATTTAAGACTTATTGGCGAGACAAATTGTCTAAATTTTCACCCTAACAATTTCTGACGCCTGTACATAATGTGAAAACTAAACACAGGTATCGTTGTCTGGCTTCCCAAGCAATTTCCTCATTACAAAACCAGGAACAGCTTTTGTTTATATCATAAAGATACTCTGTAACTATACTTCTTTGGTGTGTGGCTACAAATATATTAAAATCAAATTTCTTTTTGCTTAACAGAAATGACGAAATAAACACATAGGTGAAGTTGTACTAGTATTAGTGTCAAGAGTTTAAAAAATAAAGTCGCAAAATGAGGCGAGAAAAGTAGCCATAAATAGCAGACTTAATGTTATGTGGGCTTCAGGAGGCCAATTTAATCACCCCCTAGGTTTAAAGAAAATAAAAATATCATGCAGGAGGCCTAACCTCATTAATAGCAAAGCTGGGGCTTTCAGTAGGCCGCACGCGTTGGGAACGGGGAGATTGAGCAAGCCATTCGCACCACCTGTTTATGATCTCCAGTTTGAGCGACAAGTCATCGGATCGTCGACTGTAGGACTTCAGTTCTCGATCTTTTGCCGCCACCTGGTTTTGCATACTTGCGTTCGCATTCACTACAAGGCGAAGCTCCATGTTACGGTCGCACTTTTACACATGTCATAGTACGTGAAGGTGTATTTAATCAATATAATAGTTTCTATATGATTGTAATACGGGTTCGAAAAAGATGGGAGTCGTGTTAAATACGCTCTCTTGTAGTGGTGCCGTTCGATACGACAGTAAGTGTTCGACAAAAGAAAAGAAAATTTCTCTCAGGGAGCAACCGGAAGTGCGTAAAAGACGTGAAAGAGATCGGTAAAAGATACGGCTGCGTAATCTTTATAACTAGAAAATCTTTAGACGTAGGCTAACTTGAAGAATTGTGATGGCACGAAACTGAAGTGTTTATTTAAGTGATTTAAGTTGAAGGCAAAATACACTGTCGTGTTTTAGTGAGATGATTCGAAAGGAACATAACTACTAAAGCGGAACATTAGTGGTCAAACTCTGTATCTAAGAATCGAAAAAACGTTATAAACAATACAAGAACACAAGAAACAGTAAAAATTACAACAACAACAATCAGCAAAGGATATTCGAATCAGCATATTTCCAAATAACGTCATAGTAATTTTTTGTACAATGCCGGCAGCAAAGGAAATCAGACAACTTTGAAAAATACGTAAAGAAGGCATTAGTTAGCAGCTAATCAGTTCAAGACAACTAAAAGAAATAGTCAACATGGGGCAAAGTATAACTACAGTAAAGCTACAATTAAAAGGAATATATTCCACAAAGACTAATGCTGAACTCGAAATGACATTTAATGCACCCAGTCAATAAAATGAACCCAACTACCACTCATTAGCAATCAACTAATCAAACAGAATATCCGCTTATCAAATTACACAACTGCCTCCTGTTACCTCGTTCACGCTACCACGCTAAATAAATTTATGTATTTTCAACCGCACCCAATGCTCGACTAGACGACACTCGGGGCTAGTACGTCGTGGGAGGTCAGGTTATCCACCACGCACTGGTTCACTCACGAACCTCTCACGCAGCACCCGACCCGACTACACAGCGAGTTACATCCTGTAACACGAAGTTACCGACCATAAGCGGATGATGCATCATACGTCCCAACAGTTGTCAACGTTTTGACTTGCACCCTAATATGACTCGTCCATTTCAAGACATCCCCAGTTTCCACAACTTCACTTAACTCTACGGGACCTACCAACTCAGAACCAACAACCACTTCTCTACCCACTTTTTAAACCTCCACTCTTTCATCGCCACTGTTAAGAACACATTGCACGTGCAATGGCCATGCCCATTTCCACATCTTAACGAGTCCTTACATTGGTGCAAACCATGCCAAAATGTTCATTCCTGGCCATCAATATGAACCACTTTTACAATGTACAACGATACTATTATTTACCACATTGGTACTGAGGTCGCTTCACTGCGCCTGTCACGAAAAGCCGTGAAACAACAGTTTTTTCATCGCCTGTCATACACCCATGAGGCTCAGCACGCTACCGCCTAGATGGCCAATTCCCTACGCCTCCATTTCAACACGATCAACAGTCGCATTGCACAAGTGCTCACCAGCTATTTCGTGCCCAACAATTTAGTCTTCAGCAACACCCTTTGCGCACAACCAGTAAAGGTGTCTTCTTAGTGTTCGCCACCTCACTCACTCTTAACTCGACCAATGATAATTTGCGCTTCTTAACAAAGCAAATGAAACAAGTCTGACAGCGGATACTGTGGATGGTGCAGTAACACAAATGTCTTCATGCCCCTGCCAGTCGCTTTATATTTACGTCGCAAGCTGGATAGCACTTTTCAGAAATATATCGTGAAAAGTACGACTGTCCGCCACAGCAAACAATCGTTACCACTGGTACTTATCATAGTGCTTACGAACGAATACTTCACAATGCATAACGACGACCTTAATTAGCCTATGCACCGGTTCCAGTTCCGAGTGAACGACAACTTCGGATCAGCGTAGAGGAACTCCCAATAATGCCAAACACCAATTCGGCAAGAAGTCTCTTCACGAAAAGACGTGCACCACAAAATGAAACTGCTTTACTTCACAGTTCCACCTGACACCACTCACCGCTCATATTGAAGCTGCGTTCCAGATTTGATAAAATAATAAACGACTCCCAAGTTTGCTTTTTCTACCCCCGCATTACTCGGGTAGTTATCTACGTACTAACTATTTACGCAATGTCGTAATTCATGATGGTCTTCATGCAATTATCCATGCCCTGATTGCAATGTAGAAAAATGAACATGGAGAGCTAGCGTACAGTCGTTAATGGCTCTCGGCTCACACGAGCTCCATTTGGAGGACGGCGCCACCCAGCGTCTACACTGGTGCTTGCTGTTCGTTGCTGGCACTGCTGACCTTACGCACTAAGCTCGCAGGCGCCCAGATTGTGACAAAAAATCCGATGATGCATTACAGTTGGACAACAATTCCATATTCAAAATTAACACTTGTGCAAAACGAAATTATTTAGGCTGTTTTATCATCTGAACACCAATCTCAGTGTCTCTGTGTACAACTACATGACTTTCCTTCATGCCTCACTGTGATGCGCATGAGCGTGACAGGACTACAACCTCCAACCTCTCCGCCTTTCCTAAACGAGGCTCCGGATGTAGCCCCCATCTAAACTACACAAGTCAACAAGCATTGCGTTAAAGGCGTCTCGAACGTGCTGCAGCATGTGTCTACATTGATGTCAACCTAATGTTTTCAATGCCTCTAAGGACACTTCATACAGCCAGTCACAAACTGTAGCTAACAACACAAGTACTTGACACGTTTCATAAAGGCA